ATACATATCAATTATATTCTTGAATATTCTGATTATGGAAAAAAATATCCAAATGATCTATAGAATCTGATAACACAGAGAATTTCACGTATTTATTGTTCTGACTGTAAAGAACCATTTCCTCTGCTGTAAGCGGAAACGCCTTTCTTCCTGTCTCAATGGGTGACCTCTTCTCTGCTTTATATAATTATGTATATATTTATATATTGCTATCATATTCCCTCTGAGGTGCCTTATTTCTAAAGAAAACAGATCCAGATTTTCTGCTCTTTTCTCATAACTAATGTTTTCCATCCCCTTACTAATTTTGTAGCTCACCTTTGCACTATGTCTAGTTCTGCATTATCCCTCATTAAAACTGGTGGGAAAAATTGCATTGCATATTAAAGTGGGGATTTACCATTAAATTGTAAAGATGCAAAATTAAATTTTGATGGCTAGAATCAATACCCCCTTTATACACGAAAGCACCTTAGTAGATTTTACAACAGCAGACTGGCATTGTATACTGTTCCTTAGTTTGAGATGTATAATTGTTCCCATGTACTTTCCATTTAATGTTATCCCTAACTCAAACCCATGTAATATATAAGTGGCTGTGGGTTCCTTATTTCAAAAACCATGACTTTTATACATTTATACTTATCGAATCTCATCTGCCACTTGCATTCCCAGTCCACCAATTTATCCAATCCCTCTGTAATGAAGTTATATCATGTTCAGACTGTATTTTCTTACCTAGTTTCAAAACATCTGCAAACACTGACAAATGGCTTTTAATGCCCACTTCAAGATTATTTATAAATTGTGATGTAATCTGGGTTCATTCTGATACCCATAGCTAAAATCGAGTGTCATTGGCAAGTCATGTTTGGATGGATTCACATCTGGTAATCTGTAAGAGTATTACCAGACTACAGACAGGACAGGCTATTGGCTTGCTGGGAGAATACATTTTTTTTTTTCAAACTACTCCAAAATGATTTGACACAAAAACCTGGGTCGCCCCACATAGACTCATTATACAATAAACACTGCAATTAGCTGTAGTGATTATGTTGCTTTGAACTCTCCTTTAAAGTAACACTTCAAGCACCATAACCACTGGCACCCCACTTTGATAAGTAGTCAAAAAAGCTCTCTGTCTGACCTAAGGTTTGTGGTGCAGAGTTTAGCTCATTGACTGATAGTGATCTGTTGATGCTCTCAGCCAGTGAGGTATCCCTGCAAGACTTTGTTTAGGTATATGAATGGAAGCTCCTGCTTAGCTTCTGTCTCTCTGTTGGAAGTAGTTGAATGGGAAGCAATGTCTGGTAGACCCTAGGTAAGAGTTCAAATTGTTATAACATGGTTTGACTACTTCCAATAGGGGGTGCCAGGGCACTCTTGGTACCATAGCCACTATAGTGTGATGTAGTGGTTATGGTGCTTTGATTGTTCCTTTAATTATTTTACTCTTGAATGTTGTAAAATTGGTAGATAATTTATTGATCTTGATTTACATTAACTTCTAATTCAACTATAAATAAATTAAATAAACAATTACATAATTTTGATTTGTAAAACACATAGTGGTCTTTCCACCATTGTGGATAAAGCAAAAGACCAACAAACATAATTTTACTGAACAAAACAGGGGATGGCAAAGACACTTATTAAAGTAAGAAAAGATGAACGCACCCGTAATAAGATATATTTCATAAACTCCAAATCACCAAAAATAAAGTAAATGTAATACAAGTAGCTGAGTCAAATAATTTTAATTTAGAGGGTGCTTTCCTTTAGCTTTCAAGGATATCATGTTTATGACTTTTACAATTTTTGTTTTTTAAAAAATTTGATCTTCTTACAGTGAAGTACTCTGTAAATCATATTATGGTTTCTACGTGAGATTTGTCATGCCATTAGATGTGTAAATTAGAATGTGGTTTAGAAACATTGAATTGTGTTTACAAAGCAGGCAATGTAATATTGCCTTAGTAATGTTCGAAAGACTACCAAAAATTGTTATTCACAGGATGTGGCATGAATATGTGTCATAATACCTCAATTTACTCTTTGGCTGGGTTGCTAACTTTCCTGGAGCAACAGTCCTAGGTATTGAGTTCAGAGTGCAATGGATTAATTAAACAAGCTGCTATCCCAAATAAACTGCTGTGACTGAATACTCTAAAGACTAAAGTAGACGGATGAGCTTGCAAAACCTTTTATTTGACTGAAATGCTAATCACTCTATAACCTTGATGTGAACCTGGAAACTGAGCTGCTAAGCAACAATTCAAATCAGACATTTGTATATTACAGTTGATCAGTTAATGAAGTTCATCCCAACTATCATTATTATTGTAATAGCACTGAAGATCCCAGAAAGACTTAGCAAAGCTTTGTGTTCATAGAGGGCATAAATAACCATTTTTATTATATTTTGTAAAAGTGTGTTTTTGTCTGAATATACACCTTAGTCAAGTGTTTATCTGTGATGACCCAGCTATGTTTTTCGATATGGATTACAGATACCACTTAGAAGTAAGGTGGTCAACCCAAGGTAATAATTCTGTCTCCAAAGTCATTGTTGCTTGGCAACAACAAAACCACAAGTAACATCTTCAAATTTGTTGGTTTCAAAGAGAAATTGCTAGTCTTTATTATATACAGCAGCTGTAACAGATCACAGGCTAAGTCTATTGAGAAGTGCTAAAAACCCCTGCTAGTTTGTTGACAAAGGCATTGAGTGGATAACCTATGGACCTTTGATTGAACTTGAAAAAGTTGTGAAAAATAAACCAGGCTACAATTTTAGCACCCTACATGATTAGCAGCCTCCAAAATGTCTAGAGATTTCTAGTGCTGAAGCAATAATGTTACTGTAAAGTGTACAAACAGCTGAGATTCTTAGAGACCTGAGTCTACTGGCAAACAACCAATTGTTCTGTATGGGTACTAGAATTTTGTCTAAAAAAAACCTCATAAATATTTCAGTAGCAAAATTAGTGGAAATATGTATATAACCACAGTATCACTTTATGCAAAAAAAAAGCTTAAATAAATTCTTACTAAAAGGACGTATATGTCACATTCAATAAGGTTCCATCATTGCAAACCCCCCTGTTCTGAATTTCACTCTGCAGCTAAACTACATGTGATATATTCTGCAGATGTCAAATAATAAAGACCATTTATTGCTTTCTAACTCTACTATCTATTATTTTAAAACTATTATTTATCACTTTTTTATATTCCTCTATTTATTAAAATATTAATTTTCTGGTTGATACGTTGTGTCAGAATTCATAGCTAAAAGAGCACAATTGTCTTTTATTTATTTATTCATGCTAAAAACAGTTTAACCCCATTAAACTATTACCCCATAAATACAGCGCCCAGTAAGTCCAGCTCCCATTATAACTTCATTGATATAAATTTGTTATGGGGTCTTTAGTGTTAACAGTTAGTACAGTTAACATGTACCTACATTCTCTATAATTACTGAATGCCCATTGTAGTACAAACTGCAATCCATAATGCACACCTTTTTATGCCATGCAGCCAAAATAAACATTAATAAACTGAATAAAAATGGTACCTACTGTAAATTTATTTTACAATATTGTGACTTGCAAAGCCCTATGTACACCTGCATGCACTATACTAATGAAGTGTACCTACATATTATGTTTACTTAGTATACTTTCTACTGCAATTTAACATGCAATAATATTGTTATTATATATTACATGCTGTGCCATCCTTTATCTCAATACAATCTGTAAAATATTATTGCATAGATATAGTATAGTGCAGACATAGGCTTTGCCTTGTTTCATTTATTATATATATATATGGTACATATTAAATTACATTACAGTATCAAGTTTATAAAACACCTTCAGGATAAGGGATTAGGCAAATACCATAATATCAATAGAGTTATAGTACATCTATAATGATTATAAAGGGATTAAGCATGCATTTTGTTGAGTTAACATCCGACAGATTAAAAAAAAAGTAAAAGTTGCAGAAATAGGACATTTCAAAAATTCATTTTATTTATTTTTTTATCTTAAATTCGCAATTTGATTGTCAGTTCTCCAAACTCTACTGTTAATACAATTTTAGGTTGCCAAACCTATTTACAGGAAAATAAAGCAAATAATTAAATTCCATAAAATGTTAGGGGAATATTATAAATATTTATTTGTTATTTTTTTCTATTAGATTTTGCAATCTTTTGTACAAATATTAGCTGTTTTCAGATTCTTCAAATCACTGTATTGCTGAATAACGCAAGATCCCATTAAATCCTATTTATTTTAGGTAGTGATTACAGTACCTTGTAGTATTAAATTGTTTATTGGGAATTAATTGAATAGAAATGCCATCTGCTTGGCAGATATGTTACAGACTCTTTATGAATATGTCCATACTGGCATTATCATAACATATTATGTAGTCATGTAGTCTAAAAATGAACCGATAATATGTATCATATCCTCTTTTACCTAAACACTTGGGAAGCATATTGCACCGAAAGCAAAATACTAGTTCTTAATGAATCTCAAACAGTCTTTAAGCATATACCTGCTTGAGCACAAGAGAGTTAATTAGAGATATTCCAGAGGTTAGCTGTCTTTAATTTACTCAAGTATAGAATTTATTATCAGTTTATTAAAAGTTAATTTTGCTTGAAAACTAGAGATTAGTGAATTGTATTAACTTGCCCTTTCACCTTAGAGAATGTTACATGAATAATAAGTATAAACACAACCTTTGTTTTACCTTTTTTTCCAACAGTTTTAAAGATAATTATTTATACATGCGAATAAAACACAAAGGTTTTTTTGAACATGCGTAAGTCAAACATTTACCCTTTTCTCTTTTGTACATGTATCAGTTGCTATATATCCCTTTCACAACTGACATGAAACATAGAAACATAGAATGTGACGGCAGATAAGAACCATTCGGCTCATCTAGTCTGCCCAATTTTCTAAATAAAAACACGACTCTGGGGGGACTCGAACCCACAACTTTTGAATCCCTTCAATACACTAGAAGTCCAATGCGCTATCCATTGCACCACAGAGCCTCACCTACTGTTGGTGTACTTTCCCTACACAACACCCCATCAAAGTGACCAGGGGAAACAGCTCTCACCCATTGCACAAGACTCCTGGACTCCTTATAAGTAAAGCATTTTGGTAAAAGCCCATGGAGGCTACTCATAAGAGTGATATCCTGCCATAATAACCACATTCTTACTACAAGGAGGGAGTGTCTGGGACCTTTAGACATAAAGTTACATGCCAATTCCAGTATTTACTATTTGACGAATAGATGTCTCTCAAGTAATGGATTCCAACAGTAGGTCACTAAAGGCATAAAGTGTGACGATGAGACTTAGCTGTACCTGATACATACTACACTGGCACATACCAAACGTTTGTATTCAAACAGAATATTCTGAGTTACAAGTGTATTGCGCTCACAAAATATATGTATTTTTTTTTCACCAATTGGTGTACAAGTGTATTGCGCTCACAAAATATATGTATTTTTTTTTCACCAATTGGTGCCTCCCCTCCATGTAGATGGGGGGCTGTTGGTCTCCACCCCACCTTTCATCACCTTTTGTGTAGCCAAATCACTTCACTAGAACACAGGATATATGGATATGGTTATTTTAATTTATAAAAAAAAAAAACATAAAATTATAAAACGTATATATAGGTCCAGTCCTACACATTTTCTCTAGCTTATACACTTCCTCAGAGACCATCACATTAAAAACACAACCAAACAATAAATTAACAATAAGCCTTCCATATTAATATGATCCATATCCTCCAATCACTGATGACTTTATAGGCACACCGTCCCATTTAACTGACTTGATTCCATAGATCACCTACACATTGCAGTAACATTAGCGGTGTCGTTCCAAACTCCCAATCACGTGACTCATCCACCTCATCATGTACATACATATGCATTCAATACTTGCAATCTTGTATTTCACATATTGTTCATACTTATCTCCAGTGAACCCTCAAAGTTAAATGTTGCAAAATAATGTTAAACAAACAGCGTAGAGGAGCAAGCGCTGGCCTGCTACCACATGGTTACCACATAATTAGCCATAGACTGAATTAGAACAACTTGCAAAATAGGAGGAAGCTCCTAAAAAGGACGTTATATAAATAAATGGTGTCTCTAATCCAAAATGGAGTTTACACTTAAGATGTAGCTATAAAAAGCTCTTGTTCAAGTAAGCCAGGTTGTACAAGCCAAACATTAAAGCTACCTATGAATATATAACACTGTCCCTTCCTAATATTGCTTTAAAAAAAAAAAAACACAGTGGCTGTCAGTTCTTCTTTCTCTATATGTGTTTCTCTATTTGCATATTCAGTCATCAGGGGAAAAGGGGCTTTTTTTAATATACAATAGCTGATCATAGGTAGCTACGATAGTCTTCTCTGTTCTTTCAAAGCATTTAATAACATGTGTCGGTGCTCTTAAGGAGAAAGCTTGGAATTACTGCTCAAACTGCCAAAAAATGTCAAAATGACTCCCTTCCTTCATAATAACTGACTCAGACTTTGTAACCTTTATATTGGCAGCATACGGCTCTTTGTGGGTCTTACCTATGGCTAAATTAATTAATATTACAGAAGATGTTAAAATGGCATTAAGAAAATAATTTACTACAGCTAAAATATGGCTGATAAATTATTTAAAAAGAGTATGTTTGGGGAAGCGACCTAAAGAGAGCAAACTACACCACAATCCATATTTGGCAATATACTACATTCATGTATTACAGTGCACAGAACATTTTTGCAGTATCATCACACATCCTATGTTCTCACATTCTCAGAATGCATTGACAAGGTTACACAATACAGTATACTCATGCATTCACATACAACATTCGTTCTTTAATACATAGACTATGTGCACTAAACGTGTAACAATACGGTGTATACAAATGGGGAACTAGCCAGTATGTATATAATAGACAATGGTAAAAAGTCCACCTATTATACATAAATATATTAAAATAAAAATAAAGAAACGTTATTAGAAAATGATTTAACCCCTTAAGGACCAAACTTCTGGAATAAAAGGGAATCATGACATGTCACACATGGCATGTTTCCTTAAGGGGTTAAAAGAAGAATTTACATAGCCTAAAAAAATAAAAACCTACACAAACGTACACAAACACACACTAGTTAAACAAATAAACAATAGGGTACATACTTTGCACAAATAAATGTGCTAGTCATAGGGGTTTATGCATTTACTGCCAAATTTGCTATCCTGGCTGAATGTATCTATATCAATACTCCCACATTTGGCTATTAAAATTCCATTGTGGTTTGCTGTATGAACTGACAACCAGATAGTAACCAGATTGACCTAAATGGATCCCTACTATCTTCAAACAGACTCATTGCTACAGTGAGCGTCATTTCAAAATAGCTCACTGGAATTTCAACCAAATTGCAGCTAATAGTATTGGGTGACTTAGAACTTAAAGTGCAGTTACCCTGGTTTGTAGTCAGGGAATTGGAACAACCAGATTAACCTAATTCAGTTGCACTTGGCTGTTTGCAAATAGCCGAATTACTTATGTTATATAGAGATAGGAATGATTTCAACATTCAACCAAATGCAACTAAATAATCAAATTTGACTTGTGTGAAGAATTTAATGGTTTAAAACAGCCAATTAGTGATGACCAAACGTGATTCTGCTGATGTTCAATTTCTGTTTAGGCGTTTAGTTCAAAGACCTGTCATACTACCTGACTATAGGGACTTAAGCAAAATGAAAAATCTCAGGGGGACAAAATGTGGAGGTTTCATGAATAAGTCTAAAACACATTTTACTTAAGATGCAGATGCACTTTTAAAGAATTCTGAAAATGCGCCTCAATAAAATGATTAAATCAACTCAAAATACCTACGTTTTACAATAAGGATGGAAATTTAGATCTATGCTGACATAATATCTGTAACTCTCCTAGAACTTATTGTTTCATATTCTCCCAGTGAAATTCAATTTTTCCAGAAAATAATGTTTCTTGTTTACATGGCTTGTATTAACAAGTTTGATTGTTATTGATAAATAGGTTTGTGAATTTGGCTCAGAATCTTTTTGACTAAGATTGCGCCTTGATCTGATTATCACATACTCGGAGAACAGTTAGAAATGAGTCATCTAGCTGGTGTAAAATATTTCAGACTGTAGAAGTTAAATCCAATTTAATTAAACAACTATTTTACATAATTGTGTGCATCTGTGTTTGTAGGTATAACAGGATTATATTTCTATTTTCTGACTCGGCACGTCTGTTCTTTTTACTTCTTTACTATATTCGCTCTGCTTGTCAGTGTTTCTCCTGTTATTTCTTTTACTGAAATTCACTACTTCCTAATAAAATAACCATGCTACAAGCTTCCGTGCTGATCCCAGAATGGCATTTCCATTGATGTGCTCCTGATTTATTGATTTATATTGTCATTCAGTTTATATGCCCAGCACAAGATGTATGTGCTGAAACACACGGATGTGTTGCCTTATTTAGAAAACTGATATATGGCGCATTGTGTCTTTACATTTTTACAATAAATCTAATGAAATTACAAAGCAAGCTAACATGGTTTTCTTAATGAGAAATAGTGTTAACCTTTCCTTAAAGAGTAACATCTTACAGACTTCTAGATTAATTGTGGGAGTATTTAATTTATGTGCTAGAATGTGTGCCTCATGACATATTTTGCATTTGCAATTAGTGCTAGATTAAGGACATTGTGGACCTGGAGCTGAATATTTTGATAGGGCTAATTACATTCATACCTTAACACACATTTGTAGACATATATGGAACCATCTCTCTGCGCCTATTAAATTTTATGTGCGCGATTTAACTGCTGAACTGCAAAAAAGCGACAAATGAAACAAAAAAACGCCAAAAGGTCATTGCAGATATGCATAATACCTGGATAGTTATACATTTCTAAAATTGCTTAAGAGCTATTTAAAACCATATCTATCTGCACTCAGTAAATTCAAATATTGGGTGTTTTTGCAGACCGAGACCCTGACAAGCAAAAACATCCCTCTCTCTGTCTTGTATACACTTTTGCACGCGATTTGCAATATATTTGGAAAGTGTGTTATCGTTTACTCATGTTTGATATGGAAATACCTGCATGTATATCTATAATGGGGTTTTTATAGGAGAGATGCACAGGCTTAGGTGGAGGAAAAATATATTTAGTCATTATGTTTCTAAACTAGTTAGGCAAGTGGCTGCCCTAGCAACGAAACATAAGTAAACATAGTGCTAATTCAATTGTCCATTTCCTTTCCTCTGTCTTTTTTTTTTTCTTGTCAGTATCTCTTTGTCAGATATATACATATATCTTTGTGAATTCGGTTATCCTAATGAGGAATGAATGCCCTTTGATCTGATTCAATTTTCACATTCTCAGGGAACAGTTAGAAATTATATACATTATATATATATATATCTATATATATATATATAAATTCAGAAATTCAAAAAGGCCTTTTAAACAGCACCGAGACATCAATTTTCATAATATATAAAATATATATAATATCTAAAAATGCTTTACAGTTTTTTACAATTTAGGTCCTCTATTTTTAACAGTTCCATAGGATATTTTGTTTTTTAGTTTGGTCTTTTTTGATGCGGAAAAAAAACTGAAGATAACTTCAAATAGTATGATTTTTTTTTTATATATATATAACTTTAGATTTATTGGGCCCAAGTTAGAATGTTATAAGTTTGAACAGGTGGCGGTAGGAACATATTTGGGAGGGTGGCTGGAGACTTGGCGATCCTTAGATCACAGATAGGGGGGCCGGTCTTGTTTAGATAGAAGAAAGAAGATTAATTCTTTCTACTGTTACCTTCTCTGCCTTGTGTGATAGGACTATAGAGTTGTCAGTCTAGGAACTATCTTTCCATTGCGTATTGCTGCTGTCTAATGACAGCGTAGGGTGCTCGATTTAAGAATTCACAGCCTGGATGCTCATTCCCCTTTTAAA